TAACTATCATAAATTTAGATACATTACTTAAAATCATAATTTAAACTCTAGCTTTATATACAATCTCATAAAGGGAAAAAAAAAAAAAAATATAAAATTCTCAAAAAAGCGAGGCAGGCAGGGTTCCATGGGGCCGAGGCGGGCCGGGTTGGGGATTGCACTATCCCCTTCCCTGGCCTGTCCCCGGATGCAGGGATTTTACTAAGGACCATCCCTGGCCCTATCTCCATTTTTTTTTGGTCGGGCCGGGGCAAATGCCTATCTCTATGAAGGCACTAACTATTTATTTTAACCAGAAAAAACCGAAAAAGGCTCAACGAATGTTTTCCAACTTTTTCTGGCCAAATGGGACTGTTTTTTTTTTTTTTTTTTTTTTTTTTTTTTTTGTGGGTAATTATCGGAATGACACTGTTGCTGCAACCACCGTTTATACCGGTGATCTATCCAAAAGGTGTCGGCAGTGTCATGGGACTCGAGCCGAACTAGACTCACCAATGAAGGTTGGCCGGCAACACTGCCAGCCAGGTTCTTATCGTTCTAAAATTATTTTAATATAATCTATAAAATATTTGGTTAACATTTTTTCAAAATTTTTCGCTTAATACATATCAAAGCCGTAGGGGGCTAGCGATTAAATTATATGAAATAGTCCCCTGAAATATAAAATTTTAATACAATCCCATCCACCTAAAAACTAACCAAACATGGGATAACTGAAAAATAATACTCTCCAATGGTACGGTGCAGTGCGACACACCCAGCCAAACATACCCATATTGTATTGAAAGGATATTATGAAGGAAAAACTACAAAGAGACTGTACTGCTTTTCTACCATTATTCTTGATAGAAGAGAATGAAATGTCGAAATTCTATAATAGAAAGAGTTTAAACAAAATTTAATTTGAAAATCAGATTATTCTCCAAGTTGATTTGTAAATGACAAATATACCATTATGTTATAGTTTTACTTACGAGATTTAAATAAATATATAATTTACTTATGTTTTATGAAATCAAACCCTAAACAAAATCAAACCACTAGGCAAGGACACCAGTGGATTGATGGCAATGATTTTCGGATTTCGGTGATCTCTAATGATGGGCGTCGACCCTAAGCGTTGATCTTGATTGTCGCGTGTCAATCCTGATTGACACACGTTAGCCCTCAACGCTAGTCCCATCAAGACCAATTGAACCGATCTATAGGAATTGGAAAAAGGACAGTCGGAATGTTTCGCCGCCTTTTGTGGGAAAATGATGCACTAAAATCCAATGATTCCATCAAATTGAGACAAATCGACTCATGCCAGTCCCGATAGGCCTGGCAATGACGTTAATGTTCTACTGTTGACAGACATTGACCTTTGGTCCATGGTCTTGACAGGAGTTGACTGTTTGACCAACATTGACCAGCAGTTGACTACTGTCCAAATCTAATTTTTAAAACTTTTTCAATTATTAATTATTAATAATTTGTTTAACAATTTTTTAGTACATTTTTAATTATTTAACAAAATACATATGTAGAATTATAAAAGCATTTTAACAAATAAATTGTCTATTTTGTTAATTCTACATACACCAATAATTTGAAAATCAATTTACCAAACACACCATCATAGATTTTGAAAATCATAGCCATTATAAATGTTATATTTACCAAACACATTCCAAATTATATTCAAAACTGAATATTTAAAAAAATGAACTAAAACTTTTTAAACTTAAAAGTTACAGTAATTCCAAATTAGCTCATAACCCACTTTAGGCCTTGCTGGCTCGAATTTTCTAAAACTTCTTTTACCTTAATAGTGAAGCATCAATGTAATAGAGCCTAGGCCCAACAATGTAGCGGTGGCTGTAGAACAAGTAGATATGAAAATCCAAGGTGAGATAAAACCAAAGTGAATTTCTCGGCGTTTCCACTGCCATTCACGTATACATTTGTTTTAACAAGGCCACATAAAATCACTATTCACTTTTTGAATCCACACTTTTCTTTTATTTTCAAAGTGTTGGGTCTAGTTTTGGTTCGATCGCAAGGCCTGGATTCGGACCTGCCCAGATGGCCACATGCAGTGCAGTTTCACATTTAGTTGTCAAACTTGGAGTAACCATGATAGTTACTTCTTGAGTTGAAAATTGAATTCAATTTTCATTTCTATTAATTTTTCTCGGAGTCAAGGCTAGAAACATAGGCATTCCAGTTAAGTGAAAAATCAAGAGCCATCTGTATAATTGTATATAACCGGATCAACTGGTTATAACAGGGAAGTTAGTGGATCATCTTTGTCAGACATAGAATACAAGGTGAAGGAAGATGTTCATATGATTAATGATTTCTTATCTCTTCCAAAAGACTCGCACTCAGAGCTGTTTAATCAAAGTAAGCGATACATTATTATTGACTAATTAAATTAAGCTGAACTTACTTAAAGAAGATGAGTTATCTATGCATCTAATTAATTAATAGTACTCTTTCTCGGTCTCTGTCAACAATGCACATGGACATGGGTGGCTCTGTAAAACTCAAGTTCCATTGCAGATGTTACCAAAGGACAGCCAACATTACTTACGAAAAAACAAAAACAAACATCAGTCTCCTTAAAAGGAAAAATGTATAATATAAAACTATGCATTTTCAAAAGATAAAGCAACACAAAACTACAATACGAGGTCCTTAATATAATATAAAGTCTCTAACGCTTCACACAAGTTACGTAAAATGTTGTCATGTGAGTTCACATCTTTGGTTGCTCCAAGCTTCCCAGACGTAGTTTCCCCCGCCCGTAAAATTTAAGCAGCCGCTCTCGGACAGATAAAACGAGTGGAATAAAATATGTCGCACCTCCAATTGAAGTCACTAATATACAAAACAAATACCATAAAACTGAACCAAACGGGAAGGGGGAGGTTTCTGTCAGCGCAAAACAATAAGCAATCACGATCAAAGTCGTGGATAGGCCAACGATTTGGGAAAAACGGAGCCCAATTGTGACAATAATAATTGTGCCGCACACAGACGTAGAAAAAGCCACCGTATTAAATAACATGAAATTTAAATGATATAAAGACCCCAGAACCATATGCCTTGCTATTTGTTCTGATCGCGCCTTAAAAATCAAGTTGGTGAGTGACCCCAGAAAATTTTTACTGCTGTGGGTTGCATTTGTGGTGTTACTGGTAACAGTACTGTTGTTGTTTGTTGCCTCGTCGCCTTCGTCTTGCCGAAGCCCAAAATAAAGAAACAAATAAACATAAGGTGTGAAGTGGAGGTGACTGTTGCAAGCATGTGAGAAGAAAAATAATTTAAAAGTTGAAGAGAACTTTAATGGCAACTGTTTTCCTGTTTTGGGTTTATCACTTTAAATTTCTATAGAGTAGTTCTATTAGCCAAGCATTTTGAAATTGAAGAATTAAAACTAGAAAAACATTGCTTACAAATAATTAACCTATTGATATAATATAGCTCAATAATACAAATAGCTAATAAGATTATAATAACTGCCAATAAATTAAAGGAAAAGACAACAATATATTAATCTTTTAACTTTGAAAAATAATAAAATATAACTTGAATTAAAAATAAAAAAGCAATTAAAAAATTTACAATTTTAGTTATGTTGCTGGTAACCCGATCAGTCTCAAAGCAAAGCTTCTTACTGCATTAAACTATCTTTTAGTTTTAATTTTTTTTTTTTTTCAACTTTATCGTACTATGGTTTAATTAAGCAAATAAGAATCAAAGTCATAACATAAAAGTGAGTGTCAAAAGCATCAATAAAGAATAAGAAATTAAAAATATTTTTTTTAGTTGAATGTAGGAATGAATTTACAATAATAAAAATTATTAAAAACTGGAACTTCTTTAATTCAATAATAGATCACTTCAATATTTTGATTTTTGGCTGACACTTATATTGCTATTAGTTTGCTAGTTTGAGAATTATTTATTTCTTAATTGTTTGTGGTTGGGATTCTTTCTCAACAGTAACCCATTTTAAAAGTTTATTGTGTTGATGCTTGATTTTGACACCAATTATTTGCACGTGAGAAATGCTAAGTGGGCTTAGAAGTCACACGTGATATGGAAATATTTAGTTGAGTAAAGGGTGAAGAGCAATGTTTAAAGTAGTTCGGATGGTCAAAAGCGAATCTGACGTCTATTGATATTGTATTAATGAAAGTAAGGTCAGGTCGCGTTTAACAAGCTGAGTTACAGCTTAGAGAATACAAGAGATTGAGAGAGAGAGTAAGCTTTTTCTAGAGTGAAATTAGTCAATCCCGCAAATAAGAGAGAATACCTCTATTTATAGTGGGATGAATCAAGGTAATGATTATTAAATCTGCAGGTGGAGTGGATATCGTGCAAATCCTTTTCTGCGTCCCATTGCTCACTTGCCTGAGTGATTTCCTCAACTTGTGCAGAGATTTGACATGTGGACGATTCTCAACCATCCGCTAACCTGGCGTTCACCCACTACACTGACAGGGGCATGCCACTCACGTCATCATGTGACGTGGCCGCGTCTGAATGGTCGCAGAACCTTCCTAAGTTCTGACCACCCCATGTTGATAAGACTTTGCGTCAGCCCTACCTTTTCAGGCATACGATATTGTATAATTACTTTTAGAAGTGTCACATTAGTTTTCGGATCAATCACATGACCAAGATTAGGACCTTTTCATAGATAGCATTCAGCAGGAATTTCCGGACTGTAACATATCTGTATCAATTTCATAGTCTCCGGACGAATCTTGCTGTTTTTAGTTCATAAAATAACATTTCGATGATGTCTCAGAGTTTATAGCTTCAAATAAAATTAGGTAAAGATTCATGTAATTTCCAAGAGATTGAGTTGTGATCCATTAAGTATAAATTTATTAAGAAAATTCAAACCAGGTAACGAGTTCAAACAACGCTGACTGTGACAGCAAAACAAACATATGGCACAAAACAATATAAATTCACCAATATTACTAATTACACAGCTGAGTTCATATCTTAGTTGTTTGAACTTTGAAGCTTCCCAGACTTAATTTCCTCTGCCAGCCTTGAATTGTCAGCTCGTCTTCTTGCCCTTTCATGAGTACTGGAATACAATATGCAGCAAGTGCACTTATTGCAAGCAGAAACATAAGAAAAGTATACTCTGCGTTCGTAAATTCCTGGTAGAAAAGGATTTCCATAGCAGCAAAATAAAACGAACCTACCATCAAACACATCGATGCACTAATGATACTGGAAAATGGGAGGCCCGTTATGAGAATCGAAAGTGAGCACAAAGACGTAAAAAAAGCAAAAAAATTGAGTAGCAAAAACATTATTCGGATGAAAGGCCTCGTCACTATAGCAGAATCTACCCATTGTTTTGATGGCCCTTTACGAAAGATGGTGGTGGTGGTGGTGTTACTGATAGCAGTACTGTTGTTGGCAGGCTGCAGATTGCCGACACCTTTGGATACACCTTGGTATAATTCTCTGGGGGGGCTCGGTGCAGTTTCATAGGTAGCTGTGGTCATCAATAGAGCCACCACAAGTATTACGTTTCGGACTTTAAGAGGAATTGTTTTTATGATTTGGTCACGAAGCCCTAATCTTTTCAGAATGCTTTCGCCAAATGATAAGTCACCACGAAAGTAGTCGACAAGCGATTTTGGAGGTTTATGCTGAGGATGGAGTTGAGATGCTCTTTTAGCTTTAGCACCACGTAGAATTTCCCCAACCTCTGGATTCAGCGAACCTTGGCGATCGTAGAAGATGTCCAGAGCTGTCAAACCTCTACCGTTCTTCCTATTTACTTCCATATATTTGATCAACAGCTTCACCGCCTTTGTTATTGGGGAGATAAGGACAAGTTACAAACTTATATATGTAAAGAAAACGAGAAGGCAAATAGGTTTATATATACTCATGAATCCATCCCACTTAAATTTAATTTGCAAAAAGGATCATTCGCGCAGTTAAAGAGTTATGGACTGGAGGCTTACCTCAGGTTGATTTTCAGATATTGCGGTATGCAACGCATTGTTGCCATCTTCGTCCTCCGAGTACAGTATTGGTTCTCTGTCGAAGCGTCGAAGCCATCCTATCAACACTTTAAAAGCTCTCAAACTTCCGTTTTTGAGGGCCACATGGACGGCATTTTCCCATTTAACTGTCGTTTTTTGGATAGATGATGGACAAACATACAAAAAGTCAGCCAAACTGGATTCATCGTCTATTTCAGCTGCGTAGTGCAAAGGAGTAACCCACCCCTTTGCTGTAACAAGGACAAGCTCCCTGTCATAATGTATCAACCATGTTACAATTTACTGGTAATTCTCCTCCAAATCCAAATCACGAGGACTACGCCGTTGCTGCAGCTTCTTCCCCTCCAAAGCGAAATGAAGAGGGCTACGGCCAAGACGGTCTCGCTTCGAAGCAAATGATGGCTTTAAGTTCACTATTTCCCTGGAGAAATGGACCTTTCCGCAGCTTGCAGCAGTGTGTAAGGGAGTAGTCACAAATGGTATTCGATTAATAAGCTCCAAAACATTTGGATCCTCCGCAAGTATTGAAAATAAAGTATCCACATTTCCTTCCGCGGCAGAATTCTGCAGCCTCTGCAACCTCTCCTCTTCCATGCTGTAGGGGCTATTTTACTATTTTGCTTCAGATTATGGTAGTGGACGTTGCAATTATTTAGTACCAGAATGAGGAAAACATTGTGATATTTATAGAAAACTTAGTCCTCGCTCAAATCAATTGTACAATTAATTAATGTATGCATGTCATATTCAATTAAACATCTACCAATAATATTAATTATAAAAATAAAAGAGAGAACTTTTTTTTTTAGAAGTATATAATTTAAAAAACATTAAATGGTATGACATGTCATGATTGTTCATTCATGTAATTACTAATTTGATTAAAAATAAAGCTTTGACACAACTTCTTAGAAGCCACCTGAAATTAAATGATTTGATGCCAACAAGCAACGCATATAGCGGAAATTATTTCTCCTTATCCAAAGATACGAAGAATTATTTCTGAATACAAGTCTTGTGGCTCCTAATTTATTGCCGCAATCTATATTGCTGCCATGTGGCAACAAGATTTCACCATAAACTGGAACAACTGTAATCGTAACCGGTTTCCAAAAATCAAATAAATAATATTTTAAAATTTTTGTAATTAACAATTTAATTCATTTAATTTAAAAAAATAGAAAATATATGACATTATAATTTAAAATATTCAAGATTGTATATAGGTTATTTTCTTTTTCAATTAAATTTTAATTCAAAATAACAAATTTAAAATTAATTTTCACTTTAATATTTGAGATGAGGAAAATAATTTTATTAATAAAAAATTAAATTATGTATTAATAATGTTGTAAAAGTTTCAAGTGTAGTGTTTTAAGTTTCAAATTTCTAGTTTTTAGAATTAAACTCTTTTCATTTCAAGTGTAATGTAAAAAAATTCATGTTTGATGTTAATAATATCAATCTTACTAATAAAATTTTCATTATGTTAAATGTTTCAAGTAATATATGAAATTAATTTATATGCATTTATTCATTCATTTCATATCACATCAATATGAATATAAAAATTTGTATATAAAATTTATAATCCTAACATTATTCTTTGCATCTTTGAAACTGGGATTATCAATCTAGCCTCAACCCTTCTAAACCGCATTACATAATAACATAAATATCATCCCTTCCAAAAAGTTACTTTTTTTTTTTTTTTTTTTTTTGAAAAGGAATTTAGTTATTAAAAGACAATAAATAATAAACTAAATAAATTAAAAATTAAAAACTTGCAATTGTCAGTGACACGTCTTACGACACTATCAGTTCCATTAGAATCACTCTGAGCCCATTTATCCAAGGATGTTGATGAATTGACCAATTGACATAAAAATTAAAAATTCGTCGTCTACAAAATTTTTTACATAATGCTTTTATACATTACAATGACATTAATTTTTTTTAATAAATTATTATTTTAACCAACTGGTTTCAACATATTTTAAATTCCTATTTCAAGTCTTTCATGGCTTTCTCAAACGTTTTGCACAAGTCTAAGCCTTTTCTAGGGAAAAGAGAAGAAAAATCCAACCCCTTGGACCCGTTTCTGTGACACATTTCACTTAGAAAGTCACAAAAAACTTTATATATAATTATATATTAATCCTGACTCTTGGACACGTTGGTTACTAGATAATTAGAATAACAGTGGTCACTTAATCTCATCTAGGGGTGTTTAACGAACCGTGCTGCTTGTGAGCCGGCTCAGTTCAACTTGAGTTTGGCTCGTTAACAACTCGATTCGTCTAATAATGAGTCGACTTGGCTCGGCTCGTGAGACAAAACTAGCCGAGTTCGAGTCATGCGCGGCTCGGCTCGTTAGGCTCGAATAACTGGGGGCTTTTTTGAGGTATTCTGAAGTAATGAGATTGACTTGAAAAATATGCAACAAAGTTTTAAAAATTAACAAAATAGTCCCTGTTATTAAAATCTCCAAATCGTAGATTTTCAGCGACTGAAATTGTGTCGTAAAAGTTATCCCCAGTGGTGATTTTTGTCGCTATCATTAGGACAACTCCCAGTCGGAATTTCGTCGGTTTTCGTCATCAGATTCTTCCACCGTGTTGTTCATCGGATTTTTATCGCGTTTGGAAGGTCGCTGCGATTTTTCTGTTCGCCGTGAAACAGATCTAGGAGGCAAAAAAAAAAAAGAAAAAGAAAGAGCTTCGCTTGGTGGGCCTTCCTACGCTGACAAATGCCTCCTTTCTCTTCTCTAAAGTCTACAATATTCAGAGTTTCAGACCTGCCGCCTACATGCTGCCAGGAAATTTATGAAAAAAAAAAAAAAAAGAATTTTGAAAAAAAAAAACTGAATTTTTGGAGGTTGACTCGCGAGCCGGCTCGAAATCGGCTCACGAGTCGGCTCGAAATATGCTTAAATTTCTTTCAAGCCAAGCTGAGCCATAAACTCTAAGACTCAGCTCGGCTCGATATTTAATCTCTTTTCACGAGCCGAGCTCATTAAGCCGAATAATTATATAGGTTGGTATACTTTGCAAAAATTACTGGTACCAATTATTTAAGTGATCTATAAAAGAAGCAAATTATAATTATTGTTATCTACAAAAAAAATAAATTAGATATAATTATTTAACATATTTTTGTATTATTTTTTCTTCGAAACAACTGTTTAGATTACATTCTTAAATTCAAAATCCAAATTTTCGGCTTCTCAAGATATATACACTAGTCGTGCCCTGTTAATTAAGTCAGGTTGGTCTACAATCATATAAATATTAAAAGAGAAAAGGATTAAATCTTTTTCACATTGATAATTATCACTCCTTTTTCTCTTTTTACCAAAATCATCTCTCTTTCTCTCTTTCTTTTCCCTAATTTCTCCGATCCAAACAACTTTAGTAATTTTATAATTAATAAAATAAGCTATTACTTTTTGTTTTTCTTCACTAACCTCTCCACCTAAGTCTTTCTTTCTTCTCTCTGATTAATTTCTCCAAAATAACAGTTAAGCGAGGCTAGTTAGTCTACTACAATTTTATAATAAAAGAAAAAGATTTTATACAGTTTCTTTTTCTCCTTTTTCCAAGTGATCTATCTTTCTCTCTTCCTTTTTCCTTAATTTCTATAATCCATGCAACAAACCCAATTCCTTGCCCTTCTCTTTCACATACCTAATATACTTTATTAATTGTATAATAAAGTAAGCTCCTGCTTTTTTATTTTCCTTACACTTTTCTCTCCACTTTCCAGGGGACTTCGTCTCATTCTTTTCCTAAATCTTTCTTTCTTATCGCGTCCTTATTTCTCCAATAATAATAGAACTCGAATAATCAAACAACATATCTAATTTCAAATAATCTCTTCTCTTTAGCATTTGTTTTCTTGTTTAACTATTCATACGCTTAAATATAAACTAAAACATCTAAAAATTAATGTTTACATATATGTCTTAGTATTTTATACGATAAAATTATACACTTGGCGATAACAATAACAGGAGGCAATGACTCCTCCACCAAATGCTTTAAAATTTGTTATAACAATTTAACTTTTGGAATATGCTTTGAACTAATTAGTATAATTAGCTTGTATATGTAGCATTACTCATAATTAAAACCTGAGTTAAGTACTTTCCCACTTCATTTTCTCTACAAAGACAATTTCTGGCCATTGAGATTATCTAAAAGCTCCTTCATGATATAGGTTGGTATACTTTCCAAAAATTATTGGTACCAATTATTTAAGTGATCTATAAAAGAAGCAAATTATAATCACTGCTATCTACAAAAAGAATAAATTAAATACAATTATTTAACATATTTTTGTATTATTTTTTCTTCGAAACAACTGTTTACATTGCATTCTTAAATTCAAGATACAAAATTTTCAATTTTCAAGATATATACACTAGTCGTGCGCTGTTAATTAAGTCAAGTTGGTCTACTATCATATTAAAATTAAAAGAGAAAAGGATTAAATCTTTTTCACATTGATAATTATCACTCCTTTTTCTCTTTTTAACAAATTCATCTTTCTTTCTCTCTTTCTTTTCCTTAATTTCCCCGGTCCAAACAACTTCAGTAATTTTATAATTAATAAAATAAGCTATTGCTTTTTGTTTTTCTTCACTAACCTCTCCACTTTCCAGGGGACTACTCATTTACTTCTAAGTCTTTCTTTCTTCTGTCTGATTAATTTCTCCAAAATAACAGTTAAGCGAGGCTAGCTAGTTAGTCTACTACAATTTTATAATAAAAGAAAAAGATTTTATACAGTTTCTTTTTTCTCTTTGTTCCAAGGGATTACTCTTTCTCTCTTCCTTTTTCCTTAAATTCTGTAATCCATGCAACAAACTCAATTCCTTGTAGAAACCATGTCGTGGCAAACGCGGAATAATAACAAAAAAATTCTTGCCATGGAACGATTCCATTACCCAAGATCACGATTCAAATTGAATAATCAACATATAAAACCATACAAGATTATGTGATTTGCCTCCGTTGGTGGCTCCTCCTCTGGATCTTTCAAACTAGTTGCTATCCAATGTAGGATTGAGCCATAGATATTCACACGAAGGCAGGCTCGAGATCACCCTACGATTGACTACTAAATCAATCAGAGGACTTAAGTGAAGGTGGCGGTAATTTGTTTGAGAAAAACTCACAAGGTGGCTAGGGTTTGACGTGAATGGGAGAGTTAATTTTGCTATTCAATTTGCAAAATTAACTTTTTAGGAATTGCTCTATTAAATCAAAACCTAATGACCCTTTATATAGGCAATCCCAAATAAGAATCTAATAAGAATTGTGAATCCTTAATTTCTATTTGGATTGGATTATAATTCTTTTAATTTCTATTTGAGTTGGATTACAATCCTTGATATAGGAGATTAGAATATCTCTTAAAGATATTCTCCTAAAGTATGAATCCTAATTAAATAAATATTCTTATTTATTTAATTCCTATATAAATACACATTCTAATTAAATAAATATTACTATTTATTTATATTTATATTTTTTTTATTTAATACATATATGGGTTTTAATATATATATTTAATTAAATTAAATATATATT